ATTTTTGTTGGTAGTGAAGTTTTCCTTTTCATTTTCAATGATCCCACAGATGCTCCAGAAATCATCTGAGAAAAAACTGTGATAGGATGGCCTTTCGGTTCCATGAAAAAAGCCACTATGGACTGTACAGTTCAATCTTTCTCTTTGAGATGATCACTTGGTGATTGAAACACGTGTCGAGGTGTTGGAAATAACGTTTTGTTGGGATAGAACTCCAGTAATATTCATTACTATATCGAAGGTTCTAAGCAGTGCATCAAAAAGAATACACAGTTTGAAGTTGGTTGGACTAGAATGAAAAACTATTTCGATAAAACTGTTCAGGTTTGAACTGCCCAGGTTGATTTTCTAGGGTGGTACTAGGTCTAATCGTTTCGATTCAATTTACTGTCGTGCACATTTAGAACTTGAAAAGTATATTTTAAGTAGAAAAAAGCATGTGACACGTTTTTCTTGAGGCACTAATCCAAGTTCTGTGGGCAAATTAACATGAGAGAATTCTTTTCTGTTTAGCAGATAATCTCTACACCAAACACTTCTGTTATAACGTATACTCTTTGCATAGGCTTTCAAACATTTTATGCACCATTTCAGTATTGATGAAACGGAAATGACAGACTTCTACAGTTTTTCTTCAAATGATATCGGAAACGTCTGTGGTGGATGCCTTCAACATAAAAAAAAAATATTTCAAGAAGAAATTCGAAACCATTTACTCGAAGTTTCAACGTAGTAGGAATCTGACAAATGCATATCAGAAAAAAATACATTTCCTGGCAAGTTTCTTCACATACGGAATTTTTTCAGATACTTCTCATTTGTCCAGCAAAAGGAAATCGCTGAAATCGATTAAGTTAACACTAACAGACCGGTTTGGAGTATTACTTATTATCACTGCAAGAAAGATCCAACCATGACAAGATTATCTTCTGGTACCCGATTGATTTTATCGACGCTTCACGGTCACAAAACCCATGTCCGGAATTGCAGGCACAGACATGTATTATCATTGAAAACATTTTAAACTGAGTATTATTTTCTTTTCACCAAGGAGTCAATTATAATTGAGTAGAAGATTATTTTATTTCAGTATGAAATTTCGATATTTTAAAATTATAATTTTCAGATTTTTTTTGAAAATCACCAATATTCCTGATTGTGGTGAAAAAAATGTAGGGCGTATTCAGGACTTTTGCCCTTCTCGAGTTATACAAGAAAAATTAAAAATAGTGTTTTTGGCTTTCACGAATACAACGGGTCATTTCAAATAATATAAAAAAAATGAAAAATCAGTTTTGTTTCTTGTTCAAACGTTTCGTGTCATACCGACCACCTTGAATTTTTTTCTCTAATACTGACCTGTCTCTTCAGCAATAAAATCAAAATTCGGTGGTATATCACACTTGATATTTTTGTAGCATTTCATGTGAAAATCATCACTTACAACAATCAAATAGAAAAACAATTTATTTCATGATGAACTTTTGGGGGAAAATGGTTGTCTGATGGGTGTAAGTATTGCTATCACATGCCTCTCTCAGTTTTTGTTCGAGATGTTCGATGTCTGTACTAGGCGTCGAAAAACTTTATCCTGTATTTCTGGACAAAAAAATCTGATGGAATGAAATATAGGGATGGATAGAGCTAACCAGGCAATTGGTCTATTGTTCTCAATACATTTTGATTTGTATATCGCATCTGAATGTTTATTACTGTATTATGAGATGGGTCACCGTCTTCTTGAATATAGTGTATTTCACGGCTGATGCTCAGTAGCAATTTCATTTACCAGCCATTGAACTTATTAGATGAACAATGTTATCGTCTCGTCGGAATTATTGGTAATATCTGAGAAATCAAAACAATTTACAAAAGAGTTAACGACAGGACCGCAATTGAAAATTGTTGTCACTGCTGATGCCAGTTATTCCAAGCGGACTGCTATGAGAATATCAAGTGTGATATGCCACTAAATTTATCATTATACAGTGTGGTACCTTCAACTGGAATAAATTCAGTAGAATTGTAGCAGAATGTTCCTTGCAAAATTCCTGAGACAGGTCGATTTTGTTTTCAAGAGAGATACATTTCTACATTCTAATGAACCAAATTACATGCATCCCTTACATTGGGTATGTGATGAAAAAGACAGGTCCGTATTCAAAAGAAATTGATGGTCACCGTATCGACATGAAACGTTCAATAAAAGATCGTTATTGTTCATTTCGAATAAAATGAAACTGTATCTTTTCCATCTTCTAAAATTTTCTGAAATAACAATTCTATTCATATGAAACCAAAAACGTCATTTTTAGTTTTCCCTGTGCAACTCAAAAGGGTGAAAGTCCCTGTGAATTTTCATTGACCAATGTTCTGTTCCCCGCAATAGTTGCTTTTTTCCATTCAATCATATTTGTTACAGTCGAGAATAAAGCGTTGTTACCTCATGATGAAAGGAACGACCTGTATCAAATAATTATATTATAATTGTTCTTTGTAACAACAATAAATGTGACTTGATGAATGGCAAGCATCCCAATTAGTTGTTGAATTTTCACTATATGATTGACTGAAAATGAAAGAGTTTCATTTCTAGATTTATTTCTCAGAAAATGTTAGATGGAACGTCACTGTCGGATGGCTAAAATGTGTCTCGAACCGCCACAGGACCCTATGGTTTGTTTTTGTTGAAGCTAACTCAACCTCTCATCATTGAAATTGATATTATCAAATATCACTGAAATCAACTGAAGCATACTTACAATATTCTGTTCGAAAAAAAATCTGTTTAAAATCTGTTTTTTCGTTAATCAGCTGTCGCACCCCTACAAACAACAACCCTCAGAAGTCGAAACTTGTGCGAGCTGAGGATTAACGAGGTCTTACCTTTTAACGTGTAATTCCTAACACGGGTTGGACGATAGCAAGTGAAAATCGATCGTTCAGACTAGGGCTTGAACCACCGACCAATACGGCAGTCAATTCGAGTGAGTGAACAAAGCACCCACGTTGAACCGCCTGGCTACCGACCGACTTACAATATTATTACAAAAAAATTATTTTAAAGAACGATTCAACGCCTTGTATAAAACACCAATGAATTTCCGAATTCATGTAAAATTATCTGAAGGAACAATGTGTTCAGGCCAGTCGTTCCTCACCTACAGAGTAGGGTTATGGACTGACATATGAAAAAACTACTCCCCTGGCTAATATCACGAAGGGCGTTGAATTATATCCGGCAGGTGTCAGTGCAGGATTCTTAACAGAAATAACTCCTGCATATGCTGTTAGCGATATAACTGCCGGAATCGATTTTCAATTATTGGAACACACTTGTAGATCGGTTTTGGGATACTTGATCACTCATCAGTGCAAGGTCCATGTGGATATATAGCTGGTTAGTATAACGACAGGCAGTTGTATCGCCAACAGCATATGCAGGAGTTACTTCTGTGAAGAATCCTGCACTGATACCTGTCGGATATATTCCAAAGCCCTTCGTGGTATTAGCCAGGGGAGTAGTTTTATGATAGGTTTCTTTCCATAATCCTTCTGTGTAGGTACGGGAAGACTGTCCTCAAAAAATTGTTCCTTTAGATAATTTGATTCAAAACCAGTCTTCAAGTATGCCCACGTACTATAAGAATAAAAACTATTTTCATGTGATTTTTTTTATAAAATTATTTCATGAACACGGTCTTACATTCTTTCATCGCAATAGAAAAATATCCTTTATAGACATACAAGAGTCGAAATGTTATAACTCAATAAAAATATATCCGCTTGAATATACTGTTTAAACTTCTGCTCAGTATATTCCTATACAAGCTTTCATTCTACTTGTAATGTGTAAAATCTTGCAACTGTATTTCAAAACAGATATGACAATGACAATGCATGGTGAACAGAGTGACGCCATTCATAATTCTGAATAAAAAATCAAATAGTAAATCTCGAGACAAGCATTTATACAATATAAATTGTGTAATGCAATGAATTCGTGGTTTGATAAGTTGATTTTCTTCTTTTCGAATTTTGTAAATGGAAGCTTGTACTTGAATTATTTTTATCATTGATTTATTTACGTTATGAATACATATCGAACATGAATGAAATTGACCTACAGACAGAAGTCGTATCTTGAACCAGAGTCTAGTTAAGAATGATACACATTTCTGAGTTCTGAGTTACAGAATGTCTTTGAGATTCTTCAATGAAAACAATACTCTGTTTAGTTTAGAGATCAACCATATATTGTGTGACTTCTGGTTGAGGAAATTACATATTTAGTTTGAATTGAAATATAGATCATTATATATTGTTGAAGTAGCTAGCCAGCAACTTCTTGTGTCTTTCATATTAGCTTATCAATCTCATGGTATATAAAACTGATATCATGAACATGAAATCGTCAGCTTCAGCTGAATATTTTCAAGATTATCAACATGACATATAGAAAAAAAGACTCAAAAGTTTTTATTGTGGCATACCCATTTCAAGTTCGAGTTTTTAGAAATAATTCATGCAGAGAATAGAGTTTATCATTGACATATAGGGATGCATTCCATAGTCAAGTAATAGTCAAGTTTTTGATTTCCATACATTTTCAGTTTGTTTTCGATTGTATAATTCGCTGATGACTTTTTCATAAAAGCTTTACTGTTTATTGGGAACGAGAAATCTATTTATATCTCTCTATTGATTAACCCACTACAATTTACCCCATATAGGTTAATAATGTGTTTTCAAAAAATGTATCCCATGAATGAAGTTAACTTTTTTAGGCTGTGATTTTAATTTTTTCTCTCTCTGAGGAACAGTTGAGTCGGTAAGAGTACTCATTTTTTTCACTTTTTCTCGATATTTCTATACACTTTGAACTCAAAAAAAAGCGACTTATCTCGACCTCCATATTCTCTCATCCTTTTATAACACCTTCATCCTGAAAAAGTAGCTCCCCTAAAAATGCTTATTAAACGCAGTGTGATTTGTTGCAGTCGCCGTCGTTCAAGTTTTCCCGCAAGGCTTCCTCGTCGTACTCATTGAAGCTGGAGCCGCCCAACAAGCAGAAGTTCAAAACGAAGAGGAAACCCCTCAGCACGCCCGCCTCGCCGAGCCGGCCGGCCAGAGAACCGCAGTGCACGTGCATGACTTCCGAGCAATACGCAAGACTGAAAGCGCAGGATCCGAGATACAGGGGTGAGTTGCAAGTTGAAAGTGATAGATGACGGACATTCCCATGATGTAATGATAAATCAATTCATTAATAATCGAAAAACGTGAATAATACATCACCTTGAAAAACGTTAATGTTTCAAACGGGGACTTGCAGAATTTCAGTGTAATCACACCGTCAGCGACCATGTAAATCCGTCTAGACCTACCTTCTCTCCTCACTTTTTTGGAGGATAGATTTGAACAGAAGATGGACATCAAAAAGGAGTTGTTTATATTGCCCATTGTTTGAAATAGGCTGACGCGGAGTGTGACTTACTACTGGTTGATGCTGGAAGTCACAGCATTTTGGAATTGTCCTGCGAATCAATGGCTCAACCAGCAGTTAAGATCTGCTCATTATAAATAGGAAAGAATGGATTCTTCGGGAAAACATCAATCTACCTGGGGCTCTAAACGACAGTATTTCAGATGGAAAATAATAATTTAAAAACAACAATTGAACTGCAACAAAAAATTTCCATAATGAGGTGACTTAATAAAATGCCTCTGGTCTGGATTTCTGGACATTATGATCTGGAAAGGAATTAAGTTGCTGCCTCCCTTGCAAAGAGAAGGTAATGCAAATACTTTCACTGGACCAGAAACTATCATGCGCATCGCTTTAGGTTTTGCCGAACAAACACTTAAAATGAAATTGTTTATTGAAATATGAAGGCTAATAAAATAGAACTCAATACATATACAAGTAATTTGCGAGATATGATTTATTCCTCTATAAACAGAGATTTTCTTGCTAACCATAATAAATACAAACATAAATAAATATACATCTTACAACCAAAAGCAAATATATGAATGAAACAAATAAATATTTGCTATAGGTATGCAAAAGATGTCTCACAGTAATAATTTGAGTTGCTAACACAGTTAAAAACTGTTGATATTTAGTAGTTTGATTTTATGTATTTAATCAAAGCATCCTTGAAGTTTCTCACCAAACAAGACTGGAACCTTTATTGGAAGTTTATCAAATTCTAGCAAACTACGATGAAACGTTGAGTTCATAGATTGCGAATAATGTGTACGAGAGACATATAGATCACTATTGTTACGTGTTGGACAATCATGAATTTCACTAATGTATGTGATGAACTGATTGTAGTAAGATGATGCTACACTAAATGAAATTTTGAAGATGATAATCATAGAAGAATAAAAAATTATATCTTTAACAGGGAGCCAATCTAAGACTTGATGCATAATTATGATAGGAGTGAGTCTGTTGCATTTCAAAATAATTCGCATACCTCTATTTTGCAACTTTTGCAAGGATTCTATACTATTACCATCGAATAATGATAATAAGTATTATCGTATTATAGACCGTTTTACATCTTTGGAAGCTAAGATGAATACTGGCACAGATATAGAAGAATAGTTTTTTTGCTATTCTACTGTGTATGTATTGAAAGTGATCTGTGAAGTTCAATGTGTTATCAATCATGAAACTGAGGTATTTGATTTTGAAAGCAATCTCAATGGGCCCATAATAAATTTTAATTATAACTGACGACATGTAGATGCTACTGATTTTATATTGAATTGTGACAATCATTGCCCTAGTTTAATTACAGTTGAGCTTGAGTTTATTAACATTTAGAAATACAGATAATTTATCCAAAATACGATTGACTTTCATACCAGCTGGAGATATTTGTTTATCACTTACAGCCAACAGACTATCATCGGCAAACAGAGTATTAAATTCACAATCTCCGGTAAATTGTATATCATTCAGATAAAGTATAAATAGAAGAGGTCCTAGCACACTCCCTTGTGGAACACCTGTATCAACATATTTCACACTTGAGAGTGAGCCATCAACCTTGGTACGTTGGGACCGATTTGAGAGATAACTCTTGAACCAATCAATTACCTTTCCTTTCATACCGTAATACTCCAGCTTATCGATTAAAGTTGAAATATCAATTGTTTCAAATGCCCCTTTGAAATCCAAGGAAATGGCAGCTCTATATTTATTATCATATATAATTTTTTTCCATTTCGAAATAGTTCACTGTTTCACAAGAATGTTTTTTTCTAAATTCAGACTGAAAATCAATTACGAGTTTATTTATCTCAATATATTCGCGAATTTAATCGCACATTTCCGGTTCAATAACTTTTTCAATACCAGGAAGGGTTTAAATAGGTCTGAAAATAACAGATTCATTTTTGTTGTTATTTTTGGTATAGGAATAACTACACTAGCTTTGAGCAACCATTAAACAAGGAACAATTGACCAAGTTGAGGATTATACGACCGATTACTTCAAAAATACTTTTCGATACCATATTATTCATGAAATTGGAATAACACCTTTTATCAAGGTTGTTTATAATAGGTGTTATTCTTAGATTTTTCAACGTAACCAATTTGAATGCAGATATGGAATTAGTAATGAATGGAAGCCTTCGATTAGACCAATCAACCGATGTCTAGTATACCATCTAGTATACTATCAATAAAAAACGAATTGAATTGCTCAGATATGTCTTCATCAGTGTTTGCTCTAATAAATGACTGTTGGCCACGAAAACTATTTCTTTTGGTATTGAGTTTTGTGAAGATTTCAACAACGTTTTCAATGTTTTCCACATCTGTTTTCCGTCATGAGGACATCTATCAATATTGTCTTCATAATATTCGACTTTCTTAATTTTTAAACAGTTGACCACTTCAGTTCAATACATACTTCTTCTACAGGCACCAGTTAATTGATCTATCGTATTCCGTTATGCAACTTCTGAATGTTTTGTATGCAGTATTTTCAAAGATATCACTTCAAAGTCATACCAAGGAAGTTGATTTTCTCGAGTGGTTATAAGATTTCAGAAGGGATATCAGATCTACTTGTGTGTACATAAATCACTACTCCTCCTGTATGTCTAATGGATGAATCACATCTAACTACTTTGTAATCATGCATGTCTATTTCAGAATTGTGTTCAATTGTCAGTTTCTTTCCCTTGAAATTTTTTCTGCAATAGTCGGTATGCCATTCATAAATTCAATTGTTTTATTCACTTCTCCATTGTTTGGAAGCTCGATGGTCTCAATAGATGAGTAGTATTGTTTCTGCATGATGGTTTGGTTTCCAAAGAGTGCAAAGAACTAGGGTTTGATACTATATCAAAAATTGAGATTCAGAGAACAGGTTAATATTTGGGAAAGAAAGTTTTTGGCTTTCTACTACTCCATCTGATACAAAAAAAGGGGATGAGAGAATCTTACAAAGAAAGGAAGGAAGTAATGAATGTGTAGATCATGCAAAGAAGTAACTTTCAGACACAAACTGAAAGAAAGTCCTCTTTGACAATTTATCTTTNACTCCAAACGAGTAGAGTAAGATTGGAACGGCAAGCATATTTGTTGCAGCTACTTTGTTCTTCCCCGACAGTTCCGATGACCAGATCTGTCAGAGTTTGTGCTGATACTTGCCGCGGAGAGAGTTCTTCACTGGTGTTACCTCTTGTGAGTGTCGTTGTTCCACCCCGAAGTTAGTATATGTCTCTCCGGTATCCAGAAGGTGTATAATGCTTCCATCTACGCATCGTCCTATTTCGAGATGGACCACTGCACATTTGTCTATCCCGAATTTCATACTGATAGCATGCATGTACTCTTCCACCACCCTCAACGACTCATCGAGATCCTTCTCCTAAGAGGCATAAAGTTTAAGATCATCCATATAAAACAAAAGGGTGACCTTGTGCCTCCGGTTTCCGGGGGTGCCACAGTTATACCCTCGAGTATTTCTGAGCGAAACGGATAATGGCAATAGTGAGATGCAGAAGAAAAGGGGACTGAGGGAATCGCCCTGAAATACACCCCTTCTGAAAGTGACCCACACTGTTTGGACTCTGGCTTGACTAGATGTTAAGGTGAAGAGAGTTCGCCAGAGTGGTATCAGTTGTTCAATGCATCTCATTATTTTGTCAGGTACCTCAAGGCATCTGAGCAAATGCAAGATGAGCTCATGCGATATTGTTTAATGCCTTACGGTAATCGATCTAGGCCATAGAGAGGTTGCGCTTATATTGTATAGAGTCCTGGGTTAAACATCTATCGATGAGTAGGTTCTCTTTACATTCAGCGACTCCTATTTTTGACTCTCTCTGCTCATCTATCCGTTCGAACACTTGGTCTACTGCGGTGAGTATTTGTGTGTATAACATGCTTGTAAACAACTTATAACAAGAATTCAAGCATGTTATCGGTCTGTAATTCATAGGAATCGACAAATTCCTGCTTTTGGGGATAAGAAGCCATGAATTGAAAATTCTGGCTAGATGACGTTGAGTGCTTGGTAGTTTTTTCCACCAATAAGTGTTCAGCCCATCTGGGCCTGAAGCAGCATAGTTCTTGGAACCCACAAGGGCTCTTCGAACGTGATCCGGGGTTGTCGGGTTGCGCAGGTCATTGAGCTGAGGCTTTCGAAGCTTTCTGTTGAAAGCTTCGAACTGCGTTAGGGCTGGAATGTCTGAGTTGAGTGGCTGCGGGTGTTTATGGATATTCTTCCAGAAAGATTCCACCTGATCAGCGGTCGGCGGATCATCCACAACACGTGGACGCTCATAGAATAAGCGAGAAGGATTCTCGCGGAACCTGAGGTTTTCCGCGATACTTTTCGCTGGCCTCACTAGTGACTTCTTAGCAGCCATCAGCATTCGTATCCTATCAAGGCAGTGCTGTTTGGTGGTCAGCAGCACGCCTTGACTCAAAGTGCGAGGGATACGTAGTAGTTTGGCGGCTTTTCGCCGCACTGTGAGCGTGAATGGCCTGTTGGTCGCCCTGTTATCCATCACACATTGGATACGAGACGCGTATTGTCTCGCCGACGTGATCTTTGCTTCCATCTTGTATACACGCCGTTCTCTTTTCCGAAACGCAAGGCCGGGATTTCGTCCTTTCGATTCGGAAAGCGATTGGACGACGCTATACACAGCGGTATTGATTT